CAATTTTATTTATATATTTTATTGACACATATAGAATTTCACTCGTTAATCGATTATTATCTTTTTTTATTTTTTTTTTTCGGTATAAACTTAATAGTAGCTTTCCGTTTGGAATAATTAAACGAATAAATGAAAAAATTGTTTAGTTTTCCATTAATTGACATGAACTAAAGGATTCGTTGTTGAAATAAATAGGATTGACATAACTGCATTCAATGATTTCACATCATGATTTGTTAAAGTATTGCAATAACTCAACATTACATAATCTTTCCTTTAGAAATAATTAAACAAATAAGCAAACAATCGTTTAGATTTCATTAATCTGTAGAAACTAAAGGATTCGTAGTTGAATAAATAGATAATATACAAAATATAATAGATTGACATAACTGTATTCGATGTATCCATGATTTGTTAAAGGATTTCAATAACTCAATGTTAGAAGAAGAGAAGAACTGTTGGTGATGGTAGTTGATTGGGTGGGTGGGTGGTTTAAGGTAGATTGTCGTCGTAGAATCATCCTCTGTTCGTTTGAACCATTTTCCAAGCTCGAAAGCGTGTATACTTCATTCCAAGGGAAGACATAACGTTTCCGAATTAGTAGCCCTCAATAACATTTACGTCGTTGGTAACGTTGAAAGCCCGTCAGAGCGACGTCTCTATTATCCTTTCGTCCTAGGATGAGCCACGCCATTAGTCTGGTCCTGTGCATCTACGGATAAACTCCTACGATCGATCGTAGTCGGGGAACGGGGTGTACAGGGTGAACGGGGTGGGCTGAAGGAGAAGAAGGGGGATGAAACGAATTGATGAAAGCTTTTCCCTTCTTTTATTACTTTCTTCTTCTTCTTCTTCTTCTTCTTTTTCTTATTCTTTTTCATCGTCATCATCATTATTGATTATTATCATCATCTTCACCTTTAAAGATCATCGTGAATATTACATTTGTTTTCTTCTTCTTCTTTTTTGTATTTTTTTTTTCATCGTCATAATTTTTATCATCATCTTCACCTTTAAATGATTATCGTCTATGATATTACATATTTTTTGTCTCTCATTCTCTTTATCTTTCTTAATACGACTAGTTGTAATTTTTGGTCTCATAATAAATGAGGGGGAAGAAGAAGAAAAAAAGAAGACACACACACACACACACGCATACATAGAAATAAAAAAGTGTAGAGAGGGGAGAAATCGTTACTTCCGTTCGTCGTTCTGTTAGCAGCGAGACGTTCAAGAAAAAGAGAATTCAACACCACAAATGTTCGTCACATGTATATACGAAAGGGGTAAAGAAGAAGAAAGAGATGAGAGACAAAAGAAAAGAAACAAAAAAAAAATATATATATATATATATATATATAAAAATAAGGACAGAAAGATGACTGATTCATCGTGTTAAGAAGAAAACTTTGTAACAATTGTCTAAAATGCTCGTAATTACGGAGTTGGAAGAGGAAGAGGCGCATCTCATTCGCGCGACAAACTTACAAAGCACTCCCACTACTCCCCTGAGGGACTTTATCGAGGTTTAAAATGTGAATCTTTCTCTCTCTTTACAATCGCTAGTCCAAGAATTTTCTCTTTGTTCGTGGATAGTTTTACTTTTTCTCTCCTTTCTCTTTCTCTTTCTCTTTTCGGAAGAAAATCATGAATAAAAGAAGAAAAATCGGACAGTAAGCAAATTGTTGAAAACAAATTGTTCAACGTTTAACATTTTCTTTTTGTTCTTAACATTAATCGGCGTACACATATAATAATAATATTAATAATAATAATAATAATAATAATAATAAAAATAATATATATGTATTTGTTTTAAAAATATTTTTTCTAAAATATTTCATATTTTTTTTTCTTATTTCATTTTATTTTATTTTATTTTATTTTATTTTATTTTATTTTATATATGTTTTGTTGAAATATTTTCTCTAAAATACTTTATATTATTTTTTTTCTATTTTTTTATTTTATTTTATATAAATTTGTTCTTATATAAAATATTTAATATATATATATATATATATCATTTCCAAAGATTTGATATATTCTACTTATGCCAAATATAATTCTTATGTTGTTAAGTATAAAATCGATCGTGTGTGTGTGTGTGTGTGTATTATATCTTTGATAATCATCAAGAAAAGAAAAGAGAAAAAGGAATAAAAAAAAGTTAACGCGCAAAGGCTTATCAATTACGAACTAACAACGTGTTTCGAATTCGTGAATGGTAGGAGAAACGAAAATACGTTTAGAAATTCCACGAGACACACAAAAGTCTTTCGGTACTTACATAAATATATATATATACATACATACATACATACATACATAATCTTACGATCTGAAACGCGTTGTGCGATAAAATCGTGTTTCCTTCGATCGAGGGTTGAAAACTACGGGGGTTGAAGGATGACGAGAGTATGGAAAGAGGTGGGGGAGGAGGACAAGGGTTTGCTTAAAGGTTCGAGCCAGCAGAGCACGGAAGAAACGTCGATATCTCGGTAAGATAAGGAAACAAGTAAGGATATTAAGCCGCGAACTGGCACGATTCAATTTAAAACGCATCGAGAAAAGGAACTTAATCGAATTTTTTGTTGTAGGTGGTAAGGGGGTGCTACACGTTCAACATTGTTACATTGTTTTTTTTTTTGTTAAAATTTCCTTTTTTGTTATTTGCTATTTTCTATATTTGACTATCTACTCTATGTATTTCTATTCTATCTTTTTATCTCTCTCTCTCTCTCTCTCTCTCTATATATATATATATATATATATATATATATATGTCTATCTCACTCGCACGCGTTTGTTGAATTGCGTTATAAATTTCATATCGGCAGATATAAAAGCCTGACAGGATCGATCGGAAGCAGCGTGAATTTCGTTTCTAGTTGGTAGTATTGGATTTGTTGCAGGTTTGCCGTACTCTTCTCTCTTTCTCTCTCTCTCTTTGTACGGGGGTTATATGTCCTCGTCTAGAGTACGTCATCGATCGATTTAATGCGTTTCCGTCCGGAATTATTTCGGAAATATCAAACGCAACCGACGGTTGTCCGGGATACAAGGAACGAGTGAAATAACACCGTCCTAGTCTATGAATTGAAAACCATTTACTTCAGAGAATAGGATTTGGGATAGGATGATAGGGACAGGGACAAGGGTTCAATGAAGGGTTGGTTGCTTTTCAAAGAACAAGAAGATGAAGATGAAGAAGAAACAGACACGAAAAAAGGGGATAATCGTTAACGTTGTAAAGAAACTATTACAGAATGAAAAAGGTATATGGGGGTGTGTTAAAGTCGATTTTCTTTACCGACTTTATAATAATTGTATCCATTAATTACACCCTTCGATCTTTTCGTGCATCTCGTCAAATATTCATGACTCGTAATTTTCTAGAAATAGAGAAGGAGAGAAAGAGAGAGAGAGACAATAGAAGAATGATAAAGAAGACATTAATTAACCTAGACGACTATCGAAAGTTAATTTGAGAAAATTAGGTTTCATGGTTTAAGCGAGGATTATATTATACCTGTACGAAGGAAAATATTAGAAAAGGGTTACACGTTGCTAGAGTTCTTTGTATTTTTTTTATTTTTTTTTTTATTTTGAAAAAGTTAATCGAAAGAAAATGAAAAAGAAAGTAAGAAAAATGAACGGCCGATAGTTTTCAATTAAACGTCGATCGGAAAGGGGGTGTGAGAATGGTGGTGGGAGAGGATGGCATAAATTTCTAAAGACATTTTCGATCTTACATAGAACACGTTCTTCGAGATTTCTATGTTTTTTTTTTTATTTCAAAAAATAAAAATCGATATTATCGATCAAGTGGGACAATTAACTCGACGTTAAACCAATTAATTAACCACCAACCGAAGCCATACTCGAACCAAAAGGTACCAGAGATTTTTCTTTCTTTCTTTCTCTCATTTTCTCTCTCTCTTTCTTTCTCTCTCGCTCTCTCTCGCTCTTTTTCTCTTTCTCTCCCTCAGACGAGAAACGTGGCAAAAAGCAAAACGAAAGGAATGTACTTACTTAGTAAAGGGTGTACTACTACCTCTACTACTAACTGACTATTAAACTCTCCCCTTTTTTCTTCGAAAAAAAAGTGGAAAGAAAGAAAGAGGGGTAGAAAAGAAAAGAAAAGAAAAGAAAAGAAAAGAAAAAAAACATGGTAAGTGGAGGGAAAATTTTTCTTGGAAAAATCACGGTGCACAAGATGGCACTTTAAAAAAGTAAAGAGTGAAATAGAAAGGGTAAAAGAAAAAAAAAGAAAAAAAAGAGAAATTAAGAAGGAAAGGAAAGGAAAGAAGAAGAGAGGTTAGAATTCGTTTTCTTGTAGAAGAAGAAGAGGAAGAGGAAGAAGAAGAAGAAAGCAGCAAACGCTTGCGAGCCGATGCAACCAACCAACCAACCAACCAACCACCCAACCGACCAACGAACCAACCCCCTATGCGTTTCCTACCCTTCAAGCGGAGAGCACCACCTATCCGAGTACATAGTAGTCATAGTAGTAATAGTAGAGTATAAGGATGAAGAGGAAGAGGAAGAAGAGAAAGGGAAAAGAGAAACAGAAAGAGAAGAAGAGAAGAGAAGAGTAGAGAGTAAGGAAAGGGAGGGGACGATAAAGGGAGAGAAGAAAGGTTCGCAATATATGTATGTGTGTGTGTGTGTAGATGCGCAAGCGCATGTATATTATAACTCTGTGCGCGAGCGCATTGGCGGCTCTCGGCTCAGTTCGGTTCGGCTCGACACGTCGTTTTGCGAGAAAATTGATTCTGCGCGAAAGAGAGGAATACCCAGAGAGTGTGTGAGTGAGCTAAAGAGAGTAAGAGAGTAAGAGAGAAATAGAGAGAAAGAGAGAGAGAGAAAATCGAGCCACCAACGAACCGGGGGTCTTCGCACGCTGACACAGAGACAAACTCCGGAGAGCACGGAAAGGACGACACACTCTTTCGAGGACGATCGACGATCTCACATCGACGTATTATTATTATTATTATTAACATTGTCTTTATTTTTTTTTATTCTACACACTTTTAACAACTAAATCCTACGAAAGATATCTTTTCTATATACACATAGATATATATTTATATGTATAATTTGTATTAACGTTATATATTATATCTCTCACTCACTCTTACACTTATACTATTCCTATATTTTTTCTTTCTATCTCTCCCTCTTTTTTACTCATTCACACATATACTGTGAACCAATCACATTCAGTTGACTCGATTGCTACTATTATGTAAGAAGGAGGGTAATGTTAGCCCTTTATCGTTTACCATTCCGTCGTGTGTTTTTGAGTTAGTGACGATAATCAAAATCATCATCATCATAATCATCATATTCATCATCATCGTCATCATCAGGCGAGTTGACCCCCATCAATTATTTCTTCAAATATTCTTCGTATACTTCGTTAGAGTGTCAAGAAGATCCATTTGGAATAAGGAAGCTGAGGAAGATCTTTATTTGGGAGAGTTTCTACCTCTTCTTCTCTAACATACATACATACACATACCTATACACGTATACACACCTACTATTGTCACTCCTTATCTACGGGACGATATGCGAAAAGACGAGTTTGACGCGAGACGAGAGCAACGACGACGATCTAGCAGATACCGTGAATAAAAATAATTGATTAACGTGTGAATGCGGGGGGGAAGGGTCTGTGAGATTAATTGGGCCCGAGGATACTCCTCCTTCGATGGATCGAAAAATTCTTATCCTCGCTCATATCCTAGGTGAGTAACCTAAACATATTCTTATCATTATTATTAATAATAATACACTTGTATATATATATATATATATATATATATATTATATTTCTTTTATATTTCTTCTCAATAGAATTCTTAATTTTATTCAATAATTTTTTCTATCATAAATTATATTTCTATTCAAATAGAATTTCTTTCCATCTTTATCTCATTATTTTTATCTTAATTTGTTCTTATCATATTATCCTAATTTATATTTTATTATTTTCTTTCGATTTTTGATTTTTGATTTTTGTTACTGTTTCTCTCTCACTCTTTCTTTGACACAGCATCCCTCTGTCCTATTTCTATCTGTCTCTCTCTTTCTTTCACTTCCTTCCTTGTTTTCTCCCTCCGGGCCATTGCCCCTGTATCCTGTATGGATTAGCCGAGTTCCTTGCACTCGTTTCGTTTCTTCCTTCATGCTTAAACACATTGAAATATAATCCTTTTTCATTTTGATTAGTACCTTCTTCTTCTTCTTCTTCTTCTTCTTGTTTCCACCTCCTTTTGTAAATTATTCTTCTATTCTATCTTGTTCCGCATATTTCATTCTACTATTCTTTCTTTCTTTCTTTCTCTTATTAGTCACCCCCTCCCTCTCTTTTTCTTTCTCTTTCTGTGTTAAACTCGCAGTTGGCAAGGATTTTTCTTGAAAGAATTTATCTCCTTTTCTTTTGGATAATGTTCATCTTGTTAGAATCTAAAGATGAGTCAGATAAAGAAAAGGAGGTGAACGATCCTTTTATTAGGCATTCGCTTCCTAGGATCGTGCCAAGATTCGTGAAAAAAAAAAAAAAACTAGTTTGTTCGCCTTTTTACTAGGATCGATCATGCCAAATTCTTCAGTGCGTTTTACGTTATCGTGCGTTTAATATTTACAGATTGCATCATCACATTTACATCATACTTATAACTTATTTACAATATTATATTACACATTTATTCATTTTATTAAACATTTTATATTCTATCGAATTTGTGACACAAGTACATTCGAATGAAATATTATTGTAAAACAAAAGTTAAGATAATAGAAAAACGTGTGAACTATGTGTTAGTGAGAAAAAGAGGTTATAATTCTAGAACCACAAGTTCCACGTGGCACTCATTAAGTACTTCTTACACAACGAAGAAATGATACCTGTACATACATATGTATAATAGTATATTTAAAGATAGTTATCTTGATCATAATAACAGAAACCATTAACTATCATCATTATTTATTTCAAACTCGTAATTATAAGTTTTATTCTATTTTATTTTTTTTTTACTTTTTCTTTTCTAATTCATAATAACGAGCTTACATTCTCAAATTATTGATATCATAATTATTTAACGAAATAATTTATTATAAAGTTGTTGTTAAACTATTCCTTTTTTCTTTTTTTTTTTATTCCCTTTCACTGTACTCGTAATTACATAATTCTCTTGAATTATCAAATAATTTTTGATCCTTTTTCTTTCATACCTTAACCTACCCTTGTACACATGCATGTAACCTTATATAATAGATAAATGTGTATTAGTTAGAAACGCAGAGAACGTTTCCGTCCAACGATAAGAGAAACCAAACGAAAACAATTGTTATCGTTTCGTTAGAATTATCAGTCGTTACTCGCATCCGGGATTGTTTCGATACCGGACGTGTGTTCCCCATATCATCCTACGTTTCTATTCGTTATACTATTATTACTAAAGATCAAGTTTCGATTCTTTCTTTAACAAAAGAAGATAAAAACACACATTTCTTTTTTCTTTCTACGATTTTCTTTTCTTTTTTTTCCCCATCTTCTTTCATTTATAAATATTCATGAGAAACATTCCTTATCATTGGAACGTTCCGTTCTTCGGCAGGAAAGGTGTGGGTTGGGCAATGGGGTATTATCGAGAGGGAGTTAAGGATTAAAGGGAGGATGCAAAAATGAGAAAGAAAGAAAAAATGAGAGAGAGAGAAAGAGAGAGAGAAAGAGAGAGAGAGGAAAACATTCGTCAACATAGACGTCGAATTCGATGATCAAGGATATCGGTTATCTTATCTTATCTTATCTTTTCTTTTTTACCTTTCTTTCTTTCTTACTTTTTTTCATTTCTTGTGTATTTCATTGAGCGAACTCAAGAACGTTCTGAAGTGATGGGGGTGAGTAGTAGGGGTTGGGGGGGGGGTGATTGTACGATAGAAGAAGGATTCTCGGCTTTGGTTTTTAAGACGAACAAACAGAGCTTTCGGTTACGGCTTACCGACCGCGAGGATTTATTTTCTAGACGGTCTTCTTCTCTTTTCCTGTAAGCGTACTTCTTATTTCCTTCGAATAAAAATGAAAAAAAAGAAAAAAAAAAGAGGAAGAATCAAGAAAAAGATAGAGAGAAAGAGAAAAGAGGACTATTGGGGGATGAAAGAAATAAAAATGTTAAAGAAAAACTGGTTCGTTATAGTTGCTTTGATCAAGTGTCGTATCGTATCGTATCGTATCATATCGTATCGTATCGTATCGTATCGTATCGTCAATAACGTTAGATATTTTTTGTAATTTTTTTTATTTATATATAAACTTAATACACCTTTGGTTTTTAACGATGGTACTTCTCTTTCTAAGTATGACCGGTATAAAAAGGATCTCTTCTTATTTTTATCTTTTCTTATTTCTTTTTTATTTCTTCTTTTTTCTTCTTTTATATACATTTCACAAACAGTATATACTTCTCTTTCTCTTTCTTTCTTTCTTTCTTTCTTTCTTTGAATAATACAAATATACACGTCGAGTATGTACGTACAAATGGAAAAACTCATGGAGTGCAATAAAAATATGAGTTTATATAACATCTTATACTGTTAGTGATTTATCTAATCTTTTATAATCCTTTTGCACACGATACTCAAGTAAATATCACCACACACACATACATACACACTTTTTTACTTTATACTTATTCCTACGTTCTAATAAATTGCATCTAGCGAAAGAGAAAGAAAGAGAAAGAAAGAGAGAGAGAGAGAGAGAGAGAGAACATTTTCATCGTCAAGTAAATGTCATTTCCCTTTTACCACATTTGAAATACGCGCGTTTATTATATATTATCCTTTTTATTTTCTTAAACTGGAGAAAATACTTTTGCTAAAGGGACTGTGATTTATTTCTTTTTGTTTTTTGTTTTTTTTATGTTTTCTCTCTCAATTTTTCTCTCTTTTTTTTCCTGTGTTTTTTTTTTTTTGTTCGTACTGGAACATAAAATGCAATCGTATGTCATTGAACTGTCGATTCCATTGCAATGATTTTATCCCATGAGAATTGTAGTAGGTATTACGAACAGAAACGTACCATTTATCATTTTAAATAACAATTGTTATTAATCCATTTAAAATAGTTATTATACTAAAGAGAGAAATGTAACTAAATGAGAATGGTCATTGGTATCGTTGTGTTGTAACAACACATTAACACTAAACTTATCGACTGCAATTCATATTTTTTGTTGTTTTATTTTTAGATAATAATAAAACAGTATATCTATAAGATTAATACAATAACAAAAGAACCATTAACGTGTTAAACCTTTCTGACAATTTATTATACATGCATTTATATCGTAACCGATCAATTAAATGGTTTTTATCAAGAGTTATATATATATATATGTATATATATATATATGTATATTTTTTTTATATAATACCGAATTTCACATCGATTAAACAATAACAAATAAAAGAATTCATCAACGATAATGATAAAATAATAGTATTTATAATTAATAACAATAAACACCAAACTAATCAACAATTAAATTAATAATCTGAGTAATACAATAAAACACATTGATTTTACATTATCATAAATAAATAAATGAATAACAATATTTTAAATAAATGTTTAAATATTTATCGAGGATAAATAAAAAAGTGGGGGGGGCGGAGGGGAGGGAAAAAAGAACAATCAAACAATTACGCAGAATGTTAAGTTTGATTAAAAATGTAAAACTGGTTATTTGAACTGTGGTCGTTGTTGGGATGGTAGGGGTGAGAGTAGAACGTTAAAGGGATGAATCGAAATGCCGGTACCCTCTCTGTTAGTGGTACATATCTCTTAGGACAAATAAATTTCTTTTACCCTTTCCACCTATCCACACCCCATACACACACGTACACACACATTCAACCTCAGTAATAATTTCTTGTTTGTTTTGTTTTTATTTTTCCACCTTATTTTTCGTACGTAGTAAAACCTTTTGTTGCTGTTGTTTCACAGATGAAAAATATTACGCAATAGTAGTAGTAGTAGTAGTGACAGGGCAGGTGTTAAAAGGTCGAAACACGCGAGACAAGTTTAAAACGTGAAAAATACATACGACATAACCTGACTTTAAAATGCTTTAGCCTTTTCCGTTTTAAATTTGACGACATATAACGCGTTCATCCCTTCTTTTAAAAACCACCACCATCATCAAGCAGACATCTTCTTCGTGTCATTTTCCATTCTGTTGCAAGTGAACGTTGTTCTCTCAACCCCGTCTGTGGGTGGTTGGTTGGTTGGTTGGGTTGGGTTGGGTGGATTCGTCTCTGTGTTTATTTGTTCCTTTTTTTTTTCTTCCCCCTAACCGCAAGAAATGTCTTGTGAATAGATCGTTGCTTCAAAAAAAAAAAAAAAAGGGATAGTAAGAGGAAAGAAACAGACAGACGAACAGAAAAAAAAAAAAAAAAAGGGAGAAAAAAAAATACTCGAGTCGCCTTTTTATAACGAGAACGTAGTGTAATTCTCCGTGGCAAGCGACCCGATTTATTCCGAAGTCCCATTCTCCTTTTCGTGCGAGAACGATTTCTTCGTCTTTCTTTCTTTCTTTCTTTCTTTCTTTCTTTATTTCTTTTTTTTTTCTTTTATTTTTTTATTTCTTTCTCTTTTTCTTTTACTCCTTGTCAAGAACGAGAACAAGTTTTTTTCCCTTACCTTTGCGACAGGAATAAGAATATCAAAAAGAATCCTATTCATGATCGGCGTTTAAATTCCAACGATTACTACTGCAACGTAACTTATTTATTTATTTACTTACTTACTTACTTACTTACTTACTTACTTAAATATTTTCTCTTAATGAGTTAGACTATAGATAAAATAATTTTATGAAAAATACTTCGGGGGTGTTTGTTAAACGTATGAAGTTTTAAAAAAAATTATGTAGATTTTGCAAATGTACAAACACTTTCTCTCCCTTTTCTCACACACACACTTTTTGTTTCTTTGTCTCTATCTCTTTCTCTTTCTCTTTGGTAAGTGCTTGGGAAACACGATCGAGTCACATAACGTTAATCGTTTACTCTCTCTGTCTCTCCTCTCTTCGTTTTTCCGACACTTAATCGGGTTGATCTAATTACACCAAAGATTCCATTCCGTTCGTCGAAAACGTTGAGTTCAAATTTTAATGACACCTCACTTATCCCTCATTCCCATCCCTCATCCTCATCCAATCCAATCCTTGGCCCGGTTTCATTGACACAAACTGCGTAAAGTCAAAGTTCAATTTGATACGCATAATATCGTATTCGTGACTATATACTATAATAACAAGTTCATTCGAAAAACGAACACACACACACTCACGTATATATTTAATATTTGTAATTAATAATTATATTAGCATATGAGGGTGGAAGGAACAATTGTTGACGATTAATATATTGATCATTTAATTAGAACTATTATAGTTTGCGAATTTATTTGATTGAAAGTTTATTTTGTGAAATTGCATAATAGGGATTGTAGTGTTTTATTTAGTAAACTTTACTTTTGTATGGAAAATATTATTAATTCATTTGGTGCGTTTAAACTGTAGACAAATTATTTTTGTTCTCATAGTCAATTTGCAAAGCTACAAATTTATTTTCTAATATCTACAAAAAACCTAATAAAAAATAGTACACAAATTAAAAAAATAAAATAAAATAAAAATAGAATAATAATTATCCCTTTTTGAAAGTTATGAAGGCATATATTTATTTATGAATTATTTCGATTTTTCTTTACTTGTGATTCTATTTTATTTTTATTAAAATAGTAGTTATAAATATATATTATATTAAAATTAATATTATATATAATATTATATATGTGCCCATAATTATGAAAGTGGTCTAAGTCATATAACTCTTGTTTCGAGATATTTGAAGATTTATACTTGTACACTATATGAATTCTACACAATATTAAATAACAAACATTATTTAACGATTCATTTTTGATAATATCGTGAAAATTACATTGAATTTATTTAATTTATAATAATGTAGTGCGTAATAACTGATAAACTCATTTTTTATTAATTTTGACTTAGATCACTTTCATAATTATGGGCACACATATATATATATATAGTATAAAAAATATAAAAAGATATAATCGTTGTTATTATATTCATTAGGAATCTGTTCTGGTCTGCGAGAAGTACGTGTCCAGATACCGACAGCTGTCAGAAAAGGAGACACAGCATTGCTGAATTGTTGGTATGATATAGAACAAGACCCGTTGTATGCAGTCAAGTGGTACAAAGGGGGTCGAGAGTTTTATCGTTATGCACCGAAGGAGAACCCAGTCGTCAAGACTTTTCCCAATGGGAACTTGACGGTAAAGGTGAGTCCTCTTCCTATGTAACACCATCACACCTCTACCTACATACACATATACTTCCATAGTTAGCCTATCTCTTACTATTTCTCCCTCTCTTTTTTCTTTTTCTACTTCTCACCAAATTTACTTACATTTCTACACACCATTTTATCTACACACACGTGTTCATTGTGTAATCTCGAGAAGAAGCAGCACTTTTCTACCAAAGTAGTAGTAGTAGTAGAGAAAAAAAAAAGAAGATGAAAAAGAAAGGGGGAAGAAAAAAGCAGGTATATCCCGAAGGAACGTATCTCCTGGTGGATTTATCGCCCTAGAAAGAGAGAGAGAGAGAGAAGTTGGATGAAGAACAATAATCGAACTCACAGTAAAATATGGCATCGAGATATTTCGCGAACAAGTTTTCCAATTGCTGAGAGAGAGGGGCAACTGTTCTTCTTCTTCTTCTTCTTCTTCTTCTTCTTCTTCTTCTTCTTCTCTTGGGTCCTTCTCTTGTAAGACCTTGAAAGGAAAAGGTATGGCCCTTATGAGAATCGTTGCTTGGTCTACGAGGGTAGTTTTACACGACACGGTCCAATGATTTAGCGAGCTTTTGATTTACGCGATATATCTCGATTGTATTATATATATATATATATATATATATATATACACACCTATACGTATTACGTATATGTGTTCGTGTATTTTTTTGTCAACGAAAAATACGATTAATTTTATTTTTTCCTCTTTCTCTTTTTTTTCCTTTTTTTCTTCTTTTTTTTTTCTTTTTTTCAATTTCTATTCCGTCCTTCTCTTCCCAAGGGATAAAAAAAACCCTGCAATTTTGATTCAACTTTATCGTTCCTAAAACACACCCACATACATACACACAAATGTAGTATTTAAAATGTGTTCATACATTAAAACCATTTGAACGACAAGGTCCTGATTGTTTAATGAAAAAATACATTATTTATTACTTTTTTAACGTCCACTTTTTTTATTTTTATTTTTTTTTTTTTTTAATTCTTCATTCGTCATTTATTTCCTATCAAAGTTTAAAATGATTTCGATATGATAACACAAATATTATACGTGCGTTTTGTAACCTTCGACGACATATGGGGGTGATTGGGAAAGGGTGAGGAGTGGTAGTTTTTATACGCATATAAATACGTATACAAATTTCCATATAATAACGTCATTAACCATTTCCTCGATACTCGTAAAAGGGGATGGGTAGAGTTGGGGTGGGCTTTTTTGCTTGTTGCTCGAACTCTAATGGATGATGCAAATTAATTGTACGCAAACGATCGAGGCCACTTTTGCATAAATTCCTTAAATGGAAACTTTATCGTCTTTTTCACCCCATTTTGTCGTTTTGGTAGCTTACAATTTTCTTTTAATGCTGAATTCTATCAAGAAAAAGAAGAATAAAAAAAAAAAAGAAAAAAAAACAGAGAACAACGAAAATAAATGGGGGGAAAGGAAACTCTCATTTTTTACCTTTCTTCGTTTTATTTTTTTTTTTTTTAACACAGCTATGTTTATACGTATATATATATATGTTTAGTACGTATATAAGTAAAATCGTTTTGGTTAAACGAGTTTATTAACGGGATTGGTAGGGGTGAGTGGAATAGTTGAGGAAGGGGAAAAAATAAAACACAGAAAAGAACCTATATATATATGTATATGTGTGTGAAAAATAAAAAACAGAGGAAAGAAAAATAGAGAAAAATGTAAAAATATATCTTATCTCGGCGAAATGTATTATAAAATTACTCTCGACACTTTCCCGATGAAGCTTTTTCCCCGAACTGACGAGAGTTGATTCTCTCTCTCTCTCTCTCTTTCTCTCTTTTTATTTTTCTTTTTTTTTCTTTTCTCTCCCTCTCTTATTCTTCTGTCGTTTCCAACCCTTCCATAGCAACTTCTCTCACCACTGGGAGAGCTTCATTTAATGTCACGGTACAGGTGACTATATATAAGGGAAACCTTTTCCACGAAACGTTTCACGAGGCAATACTCTTCTTCTTCTTCTTCTTCTTCTTCTTCTTTCTATTTTTTTTATTTTGTTTTTGCTTTTGCTTTTTTCTCATGAACAAGAATATAACAATATCATCAATAAAAATTATCAATAAAAATATATATATATATATACTTACATATATATCCATTAGTATTTTATAATATAATATTTGTGTTATGTATTATTTGATATTTAACTAGGGGTGCCCCGCCACGCGTTGCTATGGCTCACAATCAGTCCGATACACACGTCTTTAAGTCAACGAATTACCTTATACCGCCGTCTGTTAGAATCTTAATCATTTAATCATTATTATCATAAATTGAGATATAAACTATCCTATCTTTCAAGTTGAATGAAACTGCACACAGTGTGCAAAATTTGATTAAAATCGGTTCAGTAGTTTAGGAATCCATTGCGAACAAACAACGTGACACGTAATTTATATATATTAAGATAGTAGTTTTTTATATCACATTATATTGTACTATATATTATATTATTTTATATTATTTTATACTATATATTATTCTTTTCACTTAAAATTTCTTTTTTCGTTAACATCGTAGCTATTCGGTGACGAAAGAGGATTGATTTCATTTTTATTTCACCCCGTAACTATTATACCAACAAGAAAAAGGAAAAAAAAGAGAAAGAATAAAAGAAAGAAAGCATAAAAAAAAAAAAATTACTTTTTTTATTTCATATTTTTTGTATCCATGTAATCGCTTTTGTCGTTGAGAAAAAGGGAAAAAATATTAAGTTACTTTTTTAACAGAAAGACAGACACACGGGGAGCAAAAAACTCCATCCCTTTGAATCATTAAGCGTAAATTTTTCTCGTCATTGTTTCGAATAGATTTGATGAACGCGTTATTCATTGGAAAAAAAAAAAGAAAATAAAAATAAAAGAAAAAAATAATAAAGAATAACTCCAACGATATTGACAAAAAGGGATGAGGGTGGTTGGAGGAGGAGGAGAAGGAGGAGGTGGAGGATCACTTTTAGCGTGACGATTATATAAAACAAATTCATTTTGTAAAGCTATGATGATGTTAGCGTATCATCAATGCACCAAAACAATTTGGGCAAAATTGTTGGCGCGTTATCGAGCTGATAACAAAAGTTGATATCTATCTAACTACCTGCACAAATAACTGATAACTTTGATCGCGTGCATTTAATCTAAACCCTTTTTCTTCATCCCCTTTCCTTCTACCTCTCAACCTACCCTTCATTTTCCTCGTTGTTTTGTCCACTACAACTCTTCGTGTTTTCTTTGATTCTTTCTATTTCTATTATTTTTTTTTTTTTTTTTTTTTTACTTTTTGTTCTTTCGCATGAAAAGATTTTTATTTGTTTGTTAGTAAAGTATCAACAATCACGTTGAATTTCATTAAATAAAAATATAAAGAAACAACTCGTTGTATAAAACGTTTTCAAAATCAGCATTCTTTTTTTTGTTTTTTTTTCATGGAAAATCTCCATGTTTTCTTTGTTTTTCTTTTCTTTTTTTCTTTTCTATTGCACATAAATCATAGCCATAAAGGATATCACGTAGGACGAATAAACGTAAAAACTTTGGTTATAGCTAGGAAAAGTCGTATCCCTTTTTTTCGTTGTCGATCAGATATTTTAAAAGGTTTTCTTTTGGCACCCCTGAAATGTTTGTAAAAAAAAGAATTTTTGTTAAATTTGAAAAGTTGTATTTTTCCAATTTTATCAAGTCAATTCTTTTTCGTATTGTTTTTTTTTTTCTCTTGTGTTTTAATTTTATATTATACTATTTTTCTTTTATAAAAGAGATAAAAAATCTAAAATCCAATTTTTTAAATCGATGGTAAGATGATAAAATTGAGATGGTAAAAATTTAATTAATTTTTTTTTTTTTTAATTAAATACGTTAACACAATTTGATTTGAAATTATAAGAGATGGTAAATATATTATTTGATTTAAAATTAATTTATTATATTTATATTTTATATGAATTTTAATTATTTTAATTTGGACTTAATTGGTTTCTCATAATATTTTATTTTATTACACATTTCGTTATTATACGTACACGTTTTAACTTTCATAATTATTAAATATTAATTGAACTATTCTTAAAAAAGAAAAAAAAAAGAAAAAGGTATTAATATAATTTAACAATTTCAATTTACATTTTTGTCGTTTGTTAAAATTTCGAAATCACTTTTTAAATTCGAATAATCGATTTAAGGTACTATAGTTAATTGATACGAAAAAAGAATTAATTAATTTTGTAATTAAAAACGTTAAGTTTCTGACTTGAAAAATCATCTCTTAGCAAAGGTAAAAATATTCTAATAAAATAATTCACATTTTATACGAGAGGTTGTAGTTGGTTTAAAAAAATGCTGTTTTTTTTTTCTTTTCTTTTATTTTATTTGCTATTTTATGAAATATATTTGATTTTGTTATAACTATATATGAAGTTTCAAAGTTCCCATAAATATTAAAAATAAATTGTTAAAACACTACCAATTTTTTGTTAACATTTTAAAATGGATTTTATTTTACACGCTTTATTTTATTATTATACTCTCTCATGTATTTTCATAAATATTAAATAAGCTGAAAATAATTTTTTAAATGCCATATATACATACATATATATATATATATATTTTTGTATTCGCTTATATTATATCTCGTTTTTATTTTTATTAAAAAAAAATAAAAAAAAAAAAACATAAAATCCAGCTTTTCAAAGGGGAAAGAAAAAAAGCTTGATTAGGGAAGAAGAAAAAAACCCGTAGAATATTTTCAAAAGTCCATTTTTTTTTTCCTCTCACTCTCCACATATATAAACTTCAATCAATATGATATATATATATATATATTCGTAATAAATAAAGAAAAGAAAAAAAAAAAGAAAAAATAGACACGAGAAAGAAGCCAGATGTGTTACGGTAAAAGTAAGTAGACTTTTTTTTCCTTGGAGTTTGATCATCGGAAACCCGTTGGTCGGGTGCAACGGGATCGATGCAATCCCCTGGGGAATATTATTAAACGTAAACGCCAGATTAAATTTATATACATACGTACATACATATATATACATACGTGCATACATACGTGTACTACGAATATACATATACCACTTTATTGTAAATCGAATATACAAATCGAACAACTTCAGGATTTCCAGTTAATAATTTATTTTTATTTTTCATTTCCATTTTTATATAATATTGTTCGTCCGTATCCCCATCCAACCACCGAAAAAAATATGGGAAAATGGTAGTAGATGAAATTAACGTTAAACGTCAAGTCTTGACTTGACTTTCTCTTTTTCTTTTTCTTTTTCTTACGGGAGTTATTTTTTAGCAACGTTAAAAATTCTTTCGATGTCATTTCTTTTTTTTTCTTTTTTCTTTTTCTCAGTGATCCTAAAAGATTTTTCGCTTTGACAAGAGGGTTTAAGGGCGCCAAGGGAGCACTCATTGCTAAAGCACCTGTCCGAAAGTTGTTAGGAAAATATTTTATGCAGATTACTGTCGTGCCCTCCCTCTCTCTCTCTCTCTCTCTCTCTCTCTCTGTCTCTCTTTCAACTTCATATCGGTGGAAATATATATATATATATATATATAATATATCTTTCTCTCTCACTCATTTCCTTAACTTCTGTCTAATCGTTCCCTCTTTAAAGTCACGTTTTAAGCAGAGAAAATCGATGAAAACGCTATTTAATATTCCCCCGTACTTTGGTACTATAACGCTTTCACCCTGAGCTTCTTCATCTCACCCCCTTACCACCCTCAAGCTATGCCACAATCTCTTGACTTTAATGACACAGCTTGTGCTTCGGGAAAGCGCTTGAAAAAATAAGCTCTGAACCCCCGAGTCTGCGACTTTTCGTACAAAAGCTTCCTGTTCAATGACTCCCCTGTACGTGTGTATGTATTTGTATGGGTGTTTAAAAAAAACTATAAAAGAGAAGGGGAAATAAAGAAAGAAAGATAATGAAAGAAAGAAAGGAAGGAAGGAAGTTAGTTAAAGAAAGTCTACTTCAAATAGATATTCGTGCGAGATAAATTAATGAACAGGTCAAAAGATGGTAATTAATGTAACGGAAAAACGAAAAGAGAATTAAGAAAAAAAAAAGTGGAAAAAGTTGTGAAAGAAAAAAGGTACATGGATCAATTGAATATCGAACTTTAAAGAAAAAAAAATAAAACGGGGAGGGGGTAGGGATAAAGATTGAACTTTAAGGATGATTTCAAAGCGTTCGTATTAATTTAATTCGAAGATGAAAGAAGTATAAGGATAGAGTAAGAGAAGAAGAAGAAAAAGGAGGAAGAGKAGGAGAAGGGAGGGAAAGGTAGGATGAGGAAAGGGTTGAAATGAGCGAGCCATTAGAAAGGCCGTTTAAAGTTCTCCAAGTAATAAAGGGGGCTGGTTGGTCGTCGTACGCGTTAAAGCGTGTAATTGACGGAGATAAATGTGTCGTCTACAGAGATAAACGTTTCTTTCCTTTTTTTTTTCTTTTTCTTTTTTGAATTTTCCCGCCTTTAGTGAAGAAATCACAGAGTGCAAAAGCTGTAATTATATAAGGTATATATATATATATATCTACACGTGTGTGTGAAGTTCAAATAATCATCCTTATTTAACTCATTACATTTATCACTATAAAAATATATTATATATTTATTTTTATATTATTATTATTATTATCATTTAAATATAATATACTATATAATTACTATAAATTACTATATAATTTGCTATAATAAATATAATATATTTATTATATAATATAATAATAATAATATTATTATTATTAATTGTAATATCGTATATAATTACGTTATTATTCTAATAACGTAATTTCATTTGTATTTTGTTTATTATTTAATAGAAATCGGAAAGCAACGCCACACAGGTAGCATTGACCAATCTGGAATTGGACGCTGCTGGATTGTACAGTTGCGAGGTATCAGCTGATCAACCATCATTTCACACGGCTATGATTTCGGCCATGATGAATGTCGTAGGTAAGTATAAATAAATTGAAGACAAAGTTTATCTTATAATCCTACTACTACTAACTACTATTACCTATTACTACTACTAGTACTAAATCTCGACAAAAGTTTTGATCCGCGTTTAAACGAGCCAACAAACCCCTCACCCCTTTTCCAAAGCCACCCCCTCGAACAATTTGACTTTAGGAGCTTAATTTTAATCACGTATAAGGTGTAACTTAAGTAAGTATTATATATATACATATGTATATATAAGCATTTACTATAACTATCTAACGTCTAACTCTTAATAAAGGAAAAATAAAGAAAAAATTGCATAAAAGAATAATATATCAGAGAGAGAGAGAGAGAAAATTCCTCCGGTGCATCCAATATCGTTGATAGATGTTTTCGAAATATTGCAGCAATATTATATGACGCATCGGTGCGTCATAAAAGAAAAGAAGAAACAACAAATCAAAAAGAAAAGATAAACTTTTTTTTTCCTACTACTACTACTACTACTACTACTACTACTATTACTATTTGTTTTCTTCTCCACCAAGTATATGCAATATATACATATATGTATATGTATATTTATTGTGTGGTTTTGCGGTTGAATTTCAAAAAAGTTTAATCACATGGGAGTGAGAGTTTCGTGTATAAGAGAAAATAGAAAAATAGATAGATGGATGCTATAGATAGAAGTTAGATAGATAGATAGATAGATAGATAGATGGATAGATAGATAGGTATGTATAGGGTGGCTTCGAATCTTAAGACTTTGGCTAACGTCAAAGCTAGAGCTACGTTTCAAACGTGCTTCGAATAACTTCCCATATATACATATGTACCTACATCCTATATACATATATAGATGTATATATGTAGACGTTGGTTCGTTTGCTTTGTAGAATTACCCTCTCAAAGGCCTTCGATACACGGACTAAGGAGGAAATACCGTATAGACGATAGACTTCGTTTGAACTGTACATCCGGACGTAGCAAACCAGCGGCCAATCTAACATGGTACATCAATGATCGACAGGTATGGAGGACAAGTATCATTTATTTTTAATTCTATCTTGTTTTACTAATATCTAATACACTAACATATGTACACAACAGATACATATAGATATATATGTTTTTTTTTTGGTACAAACTCTATGAGTGTTTTTTTGTATTCCATACAAAAAAAAGAAATGAAAATTGTATGTATAAGTAATATATAGGTCATTTAAAAACTTTATTTAAAAATTTGTAACATATAGGTATATTTTTTTTTCTTCTATACATTATTTTAATAATTATAATAATATTTTTCTATATATTTTATTTTTATAATTATAAAATTATTTAAATGCATCTTTTTATTCTTATAGATGATGTTGTTTAATAGTTTTGCATATGTTATTTATTATTATTATTGTTATTATTATTATTATTATTATTATTATTTTGAAGTTATTTGAACTTCTAACATTATCTCTTGGTTGTCTAAATTATTTCATTTTACCCCACTTATTAAGATTTTTATTTATGGGAGAGTTTATGTTACTGACATGAGATATGCTACGCTTATTGTTAAATGTTATGAGTAGAAGGATGCATTTGTAGAAATTAATAGTAATCGGCAAGAAGTTATGTTATAAATAACATAACTATAGTAGTTTCAAAACTTGTACTTAAATAAATGTGCAACATTTTGAACTACGAATTTAAATAATTTTATAATTTATTTGTTTATGACTTTTTAATAAAACTTTAAATGATCTCTATATATTTAATTTGTACAAAACGTTTAGTATGAACAAAACTTTATATTGATATAGTAAATCATAGGAATATTCTTATCTGTTCTCATTCAAGAAGAATCTTAAAAAAATATATTTCAAATATTATAAATAATTGATAAATATTGTATTACGATAAAATATTGATTTATTTGAAATTGGGATGAACAGTAGTACTTTAATAACTCACAGATTGATCTCGTCTATCTCGTATTCAACAATTTGTTTATAGTATATATTCTTCAAATATTCATATACCTTGTGTATTGCTCTATATTACGTTATACTATAGTATCAAATTTAATTGGAATATCAAAAAACGTATAAAACGTTATTTAATGCTCTTTCGCAATTTATCAAAGTCAAATTTAAAACGTGAGATTTAATAGAGTTGATTAAAAAGAAATGTTTAAAATAAAATAAAAGAAATATTTCAATACTTGACAAAAGTTATAATAACCTTTTGTTTATATAATACTAACACACGTTAATTTAATTTTTATGATAGGACGTAATACAGAAAAGTATACTTGAAAAAACTTTAATAATAGTATACTAATTTATATTAAATTTATTATTTTTATTATTTTAAATTAAATACAATTTATTATATTAATAATATATATATATTTAGAAAATGTTAAGATTCACATATATAACATATACTTTGATAAAACTTAGAATATACTTATGTTTATTCTCATACATTAATATTTCTAACATACACAACTAAACTACCATATGAATTTAAACATTTTCCAATCTTGTCGGTCTTTCACAAAAACACACATAACAACATATATACACATATACCTAGATATACATTAATCATAGTGTTAAAAGAAAATATATATATATATATATATATATATATATATATTACTATTGTTTCTTTTATATTTTTCCCCTGTTGTGTTGTATGTTCTAATTTACAGCCAATTCCATCCCACGTGAAAACGTATAGTCCGTTGGATACAAACGAGTCCGAATGGCAGGTGTCCCAGATCGGCCTTCAATTTCTTGTGACGCACGACCACTTCATGAACGGCAAGCTTAAAATACGTTGCAGTGCATCTATATATGACATTTATTGGCAAAGCACGGAAGTAAGCGCCGAGGAAGATCGTCCAAGAGTAATACATTATGAACCAGCTGCAACTATAGTTGGTATCAATTATCTACAACCACCTCCTAATTTTCAAACCGGCCAAAGGAAACCCGATGGTCAAGTTGGTGTAAAAGGTGAATTTTCCTACACATATCTATAATTATATATATATAATCTTTCTAATTGTTAATCGATATCTATTTACACATACACATAAATACAACTTGGATATCCTGATTTTCAAATAAATCACAATTGTATTTAGTAACGAAACTACAGTAGGTGTAAAAAATATTCGTACACCGATCAATTGTAGGATAATTTAAGTTAGTGTTGTGTAATTTACGATAATACGAATAGTATGAATTGATCATTACAATTTTTACGGTTTCATTACAAATTTTAGATTGTTTGAATACATTGATTTAAATATTACATACTTATTATAGTTGAAATATTATTTAATTTTGATTTAATTTTCTTATTGCATATACATTGAATTAAACATTTAGTAACATTTGCAAAACTTACTTCTTTTTTTTTCTTTTTCTTTTATAAGAAACTTTATATAATATATTATTATTATTATTATTATTATTGTCAACATTTAACTATATCGTTTATATTTTATTTCTTTTTAATTTCAGTACTGGGTTCGTCAGGTACAACACTTGGATCATCCTCGAGCCTGCTGCGAATACTTTTGGAATTGTTCGTGTTTCTCCTAATTGCCATTCGTTAATTGTATGATATTAAAAACGCGTGCTTTCGAGCTATATATATATATATATATATATATATATACACCTACATACATATGTTTATATATATATATAAAGAAAAAAAAATAAAACTATGAATAAAAATAAATAAATAAATAAATAAATAAGAAAGAAAGAATGAAATAAATGGAAAAAAGAAAAGAAGAGATAAATATTCGACGTGCTTGTAAAAGGAAAAACCATGGATTGATTATGCTTACGGTGCAACCATAATCATTCGACTTTATGGACATTAGGGGAAGACTATGAAAAAAAAAGAAAAAGAATAAAAGAAATGAGACACAGATGAAAAATATTTGAAATCTCTGAACACGTTGAAGAGGCCTAAAAAAAAAAAAAGGAGAGTAATTAAAATAAACAAAAAAAAAAACCATAAAAATAGTAGAAAGGATTTGAGAAAAATGAATTATTATAAAATTCGCCGTCCTCGGCAATGAATAGAATGAAAATGAAAGAATGAGAGTGAGATGAGAATAATAAATAAAAAAATTTACAAAAAAAAAAATGAAATCATCTAATTGATTAGATCGACGAACGTCCAAAACGTGATGAAGGAGGGGGATGGGTGGTGGGAGAGTAAAGAAAAGTGACATGAAACAGGTGCTCTACGGCTTTTTGGTTCGTCGAATTCTCGAAAGGAGAAAAGTGCGAGAAATTGCGATAAAGATAAAGGAAAATAAAAGGAGATAAAAAAAAAAAATAAAAAAATTAGATATAAATAAAAGTGGTAAGGGGGATGATAATGAGATTAAAAGAATAAAAAAAAAAAAAAAAATAGAAAAAAAGAAAAGATAAAAAAAAAGAACACAATAAAAAAACGATGTATTTTATTAGACTCCGTAACTTGCTTCCTTTCGGTGAGATCCAAAGACGTATTTGTCTCCGCGATATAAATAATACATACATACATAAGTATATACATATATATATATATATACGTATGTGTGTGTGTATGTATGTATTGTAGGGTGTAGTTTTGCGTGATGGTTAAAACGCCGCGGTCGTATGTGAAATCGATATATAGTTTTTTTTCGTACTTTTATAAAACTACAAAAGAGGGACTATAACTTATTGAAATAAATAAATAAATAAATAAATAAATAAAAAATAAATTAAAAAAAAATAAAATAAAATAAAATAAAATTAGCGTGGCTCTACGCATATACTTATATACATATACATATATATCGATAATTTAGATATTATAACGTTGTATATGTGTGTGTATATATAGTTATGTAACTAATTACTCTATTTACACGATACATACATACTCTCTACTACATACATTATATTATATACATATACTCTTTAACATTAAACACTTACATAAAAACACGTTCGCGAACATTCACGTATATATATATATATATATATATATATATATATATATGTAAATATATATATACTATTTCTTCGTATGATATTATCTCGATAGTATGCGACAAAATGGCTATGATGAGTTTCAATAGTAATGGTTTCAATGGTTAAAAGAATGATGATGATGATGATGATGATGATGATTATATAAATCGAATGGATAAAATAAAAATAAAAAAAGATTTACGCGTGCGCGTGCTTTATGTTTAATTAATTAAATTAATTACAAAAGAAACAGAACAGAGAGAAGGAAAAGAAAAACAAAGCAAAGAAGCAAAGAAACGAAGGAAGGAAGATAATGAAAAATAATAATAATAATAATAATTAATAAGGTACGGCCAATGGCGATTATTGCGCGCTAAAAAAAAAAAAAAAATGGGCACGGTTATTTAAAAATGAATAATTAATTAATTAATTACAGCCGTATGCTAAAATATAAATAAGATTGTACCTGAAACAACGGAACTACGACGGAAAAAAAATATTTTTGTCTTTTTTCTGTGACGAATTTAGCGAAATATATAAAAAAAAAAAAGAAAAAAAAAAAGAAAAAAAATATTCTCCTAATAAAAAAAAATAAAAAAAAAACGCTTGTCGAATTAATAATGATGAAACAAAACGATTATTAAACATGAGGAAGAACCAGGAAAATAATTTCAAAGGAAAATAAAATGAGAGTAATAAGAAAACGAGATGGATGAAGAAGAAAATGAAGAAGAAAATGAAGAAGAAGAAGAAGATGAAGAAGAGGAATGGCTTTTCAGAAATTTTTGCACAACGATGTTTTTTTCCGACATTTGTGAAAAGTGTATTTTACTTCCATTCATTCGAAAACGCGGATCCAACTTTTGATTTTCGTTTAATGTTACAAACGTCCTCACACGTACTCGTACGTATGTATATAATATGATAATTATTATTATTATTATTAATATATTATTATTAGTATTATTAGTAGTAATTATAGTAGTAGTAGTAGTAGTAGTAGTAGTAATAATAGTAATATTGTTAATTATTATCATTGTGTTAAATTCGTGTTCGTTATTCCAAAGATAGAAATATTTAAATTAACTTGAAAATTTGTTGTTTCATTCGATTCTAATTTTATTAAAATAGCCATTTACAATAACAACAACAATTAACAGTCATGACTTTTACGATGTTTTAACAGATTACTTTTTTAATCGTTATTATTATATAGGCGTTCACGTTTAAACAAAACAAAACAAAAACAAAAAATAAACTGAGGAAACGAAAAAATAAACGATCATCAACTTAGGATGAATGGAAATTGATGGATAGTAAAAGCAAAGGAAAGAAAATAAATTAAACAAACGTACTATTTAATTGCATTCGAGGTTTCGACGACGAAAAAAGCCGAGGACGTGAAGAAGAAAAAGAAAAAGAAGAAAAAGAAGAAAAAGAAGAAGAAGAAGAAGAAGATGAAGATGATTCCAAAATTTTTGTCGTAAGAAAGTAAAAGTAGAAGAGTAAAATTCCCCAAAAAAAAAAAAAAAGATAGAAAAAAAAAACTGAAGAAGAAAAATCACGATGGTGCAGTGGCCAGCTTTGTTCTATTGTACGCAACATATATTTTTTTCAACGATACAAAATTGCAGCGAACGTTTAAAAAGTGACGGGGGTGGGGG